TATAGCTGTGCTTTTAGATCCCACCTACTCAGACAATCCATAATGACAGAAAACTACTGTGAATCCTACTTTATCTGCATGTTTAAAATAAGACATCTTTATTTTTTCTGTCCGAGGATAGTGCTTGGTGTGCATAAGGTTCTATTATCTCAAGAGGCTCTGGCCCAACTTTGGGAACCTCTGAGATCTCAGGGCTCGGGTCAAGAATTCAAATGTCCGTTGGGACAGGTAGACCACATTAAGCAGGCAGAGTAGGCAGAGCAAAAGAAACGTGGCTTCTTTGATTTCCTTCTTGAAACACAAAACCCTCTGCCATTCTCTTTTGCTTTCCCAAATTTGATAGAGATGGGAGTATGGAGAAATGGGTCTGTGCAAGGACGATCTGTGGCACCCGCACGAAGTTAGATGGTACCTGGTATTGAGCCTCGACCTCAGGGAGTACCAGAGAATGGTGGGGACCGCACCAAACCTGAAACATATGTCTTGTCTGAAGGGGGCAACTGTTGCTTAGCTCCAGCTGATTGTTGCCAGATCAACTAATTTCTCAAAAGACGCTGAGTACGCAGGATTTCATATTTAAAAAAAAAAAAACAAAACTTAAGGGTTGGCTCCATTTTTTAAAGAATTGATGAAAGCCCAGCCTCGATTTGATAGATCCAGTCACAGAAATGTCACTAATTTGTAAGGCAGCTCACTCTGTGTTCTCAAAAGCTACTTTGGTAGAAAAATTGTTCAAGTTGAATTAATATACAATTCTGGGTAACTCGGAGACATTACCCTAAGTCTGCACAAGAGCTACAGCATGAATCTAATCCCTTCTCCCAGGAGCGCCCTAAAAATCAGAGGCTGGTGAATGAGCATGTTAACACCCTACGTGCTTATTTCTAGGTCACACATGCTCTGTTATTCTAACAGTTCCTCAAATATCCTAGCATTCTCCTCCAGATCAATTCCAGACCAGAGATCTTCCTCTTAAAACGTGACACCGGAAACCTGCACAACCCTCTAGACATGGTCTCACTGCTGCAGAAGGCACTTCCTCTCTTTTCGGGTCAAGGTCTAATAGGATGTCCCTTGTCCATTGCTGCTTTACAGTGAGACAGTCACAGACCCTGCAACCAGACTGCCAGAGGTTCCAAAACCGGTTCTTCCACTTTTTACCATGAACCCTTTGGCCAGCTGCTTAATTGATCTGTGCCGCAGTTTCTTCATCTGCAGAATGGGGACATTAATGGTATCTACCTCGTGGAGTGGCGCTGAGAAATAAATGGCTGGATGCATGTGAAGTGCTTAGAACAGTGTCTGGCACAGAGTAAGTGCCACGGAAGTGGTAATAGGTAACATTGTAACTGTTGCCATCATCCGCGTCATCTGTAAATTTTCCATCCGTGGGCTCATCATGGTCCCTAGTAAAAAGGCCAGGCCATGGCAGTGGGTGAATCTTGCCAGCAAGCTTGCTACCGCTGGTTGGCCAGTGATTCAGTGAGCAGCAGAGAGCTGTCTGTTCCTATCGTTATCTCTGTTCCTGCCCTTGAGAGGAGCCGACACCAGCCAGGCACCGTACTAGGCCTGGGGAACACGTGTGTAAATGAAACATGGTCTTCGCCCTCCGCAGCATCACGAATCTAGCAGAGATAGTCTCTGGGGTACAAATGTGCACAAAAACCACACAAGGGCACCCAGCTTTCATTCCATAGTCTCCCATTTAACTTCTCTAAATACTCTAAAAAATGAGAGGACACCAGAGAGACCCCCTTCCATATACGTTTGTAAGGCTGTTGTTACTTACGGGGACCTTCCTCTTTCATACACACCCTCCAGGTCTGTCCTGGCTCTTAACTTGCACCTCCCATTTCTTTCTTTCTTTTTTTTCCCCAGGAGGTATTTGTTGTTTTTGCACATTTGGTGGTATTTCATTTGCAAGCAAAAGGACTCCCTCACATTCTCTCTCTGCTCCACAGGAGTCTTTAAAATCCATTTGGATGGAGCCTTTGATCTTCTTACTTGATCACGTGTGTAGTAACCTTAAAATTATAGTCAACCTTGAAATGTGTTTACAGAATCCATTCAGATAATCCGTATACATCCCATTCCTGAGTGTGTCCGGCTTGTAGGAAGAACTGCAAACCCCGCAGCAGACCAACCCTCTGCTTTGCTCATTCCCTCACACTCAGGGACTCCCGTTCCTTTTCAGTGCTGTTAACAGTCTCTTTGATTTGTACTGGCCACGAGGTTATGTTTGCCTTCGCAGTGATCTCATTCTTGTACAGTAGTGCCCCAATTAATGGGAACAGGCATCAAAGAGGTGAAATCACTCAACCCACAAGCATGTACTTGACCTACCTAAAAATTTCCTGGGTCCTGTTTTCTTCCTGGTTTACACCTTTTCAAAAGGAAATGCTAGAGTTAGATTTTTTTTTTTTTAATTATCAACCAAAATGTTCCCTTCCATTGGTTCAGATAATCAAGGAATTGATTCTATAAAGTCGCTTTATTTGGTCAGCCTCTTCATAAACAGATACGTTGCTAGAAGGTTATCTCACCAGCCATTTGATAATCTCTGGATCCTGAATTGTGGGAGAAAGCTCAGAGATACAGTAAAGTAGGTACACACAGCCAGACCTTGTTCGATCATGAAATTTCCAAATTTGTCACCCCGTGAGGCCCTATTACTTCTGCCTTTCAAAGAACACAGAATTGGAAAGCCTTTGCCTACCAATTGCCATTTACAAGGACAAGTTGTGTTGCCTTGTTTTTTAATTAAGTGCATATTGTTAGAGCTTCTGAGCCACGGGAGAGGGCTCATAGTTCCAAGTTAATATTGTTCCATCCACAAGCCAAGAGAGAAACAGACTTAGATGGTAGAGTCTTATGATGTGTCACTACTATACACTGAAAATCATTCAGAGATCTGTGATCCTACCTTCAGGGAGTCCTAGCAGTGAACCACTACAACAAAATGTTCACATTCACAGCCTCATGAAACCTTTTCAAGTTGCAGAGTTCATCTGTTGCCTCGCAAGTGAAACCAGTCCATTTTCTTGGGCATTGAGGTGTTCCCCAGCCTGGCTTTCCTGCCTGGAAAATGCCATTTTTGCAAAGAGCTGTCATGCTTCGTGTCCTTTGGCTCATGATTTAACTGTTCAGGGAAAGTGCTTGCTGCTCCTGCTCTCTCGGCACTGGTGATATGTGTTTTGGTTTTATTAAATCTTTAAAATACTGAGCTTGTTGTTTATGACCCCCATATATTCTTTTGTTCTTTTCCATGACTGGTTAGATCACATTTTTTTCCTCCCTTTGTAAAAATATTAGTGCCTTTCCAAAGAACATCGTGGTCTCCCAGATGGCTGCATAACCCAATGGAGAAATGTCTTGAGCTCAGTGTTAGGTCCGTCGAGAAGGTGCCTCGGGCTGCTTCACAGACAGGAGACTCCGAGGCTCCTCAGACACGGTCCTCAGAACTGCGGCTCTTCCTGCCCTTGCCAGACTTGTTTGGACAAATCAGACATCATTTACTACTAATCGGAGTTCTCTGTAAAATAGAGGTACCAAATGGTAGATGTCCCAGATGCAGACCGCTGTTAGTGCAAGTTACTAAGAAACCCTCCGTGAAATGGAACCAGGGCTCACCAGGCTTGTCTGCGGGCAGCCCCACACACAGGGAAATCTCGTTGAGCCTAGTACTCCAAGGCCACCTCACTGTACACAGCTCCTGGGTCCCCCCCCAGAGCCTCTCCTCTGTAGATGGGCCGCCATCTCCTGATTCTGTCCAAAAGTCTGAATTAACTTTGCCTCCAACTTGGCTACCCTACAGATGTGAATCCCCAAATAAACCGTTCCATGACACCCCACTGAACTTGTTCCCGTGCATACAGTATCTTGCAGCCCATACTGTACTATTAGTTTTGGCAAGTACACTACAGCATGTAATAAATCAATGAGGGAAAAAGCTTTTTGGCCTAACGTGGCTCAGCCTGCCGTAATGTCAGAATACAGAAAGCAGTTCTGTTTTTAGACATCCTTTTACTAACCCAACATTCATAATTTATGATTTCACTGCAAAATTCCTGCAACATGACACCCAAAGTAGTGCTGCCCTTTAATTAAGTACTCTCAGTAGGAAAAACGTGAAACTGAAGTGCAAAACCTCTCCGTGTGCGCAGTGATGGATAGTGATTACATCTTTATGAATCCAGCCTAGAGGTCTCAACTTCCTGATGGGTGAAGTCGTCTGCAGGGCTACTTCCTGAGTCTGCTTCTAACCAATTTGGAGATAATTTGGAGGCACAATTGAGAAAGATGGGGGTTTTAAGCCAGAGTCTGTCTATACGTCTTCACAAGTCCACATGACCTAATCCATCATCTTCATGATAAGAACCTACAACCCAATTTCACACATACAGAGGTTGTATGCACAGATGAAGGGTCGGGGATAAGGTCTCGCTGAGGGTTCCCTGTTGCCCTATGGGTTTGTTTGTTTTTGAAGAGCTGAAAGAATGGATGGCAGAAGGGAGCTCTGCCCTTGAGTGTGCGCGTAGAACATGCTAGCCAGAAGATGGCCTTGAGCTGTTCTGCTTTTTACCTTATTCTTCACTCTTTTATTTTCCCCCTTAGTTGAAAACAGACAAGTAGGGTAAAATGGCACCAAATCTGGTGCTCCCCAGCTCATCAGTGGGGAGACTCTGATGTTCTCCTTCATCAGTTAGGTACTCACATCAGTCCAACTTCAGAACACCTTACTGGAAGGTAATCAGGGCCGTGCACACATTTGCGATACTTCAAGTTCCTTGAAAGGTCCCAAATCTGTCCAAGACAGTAGTGGTACTTCTACTGACTAAGCTCATTCCTGAAAGTTCAGCCCTCTGACCCAACTGTAGCAACCGAAACAAAAGCTTTGCACAGTAGTTTCACTGAATCATCTTAACAGTGCTTCCGAGATGACCTTTCTCTAGAATGACATCGATACAATACACACATGCTGTCTTCTCATGTTTTTGCAGATTCGGACCGGGCTTGGTCATCTATTGGTACGGCTTCATCCAGGAGCTGGACTGTAACCGGGAGCGGGGCATCCTGCTCAAAGCCTGTTTCCCCACGGACATCGTCACCTTGTGCCACAGTGTCGCCTGACCCTGATGATCCTAGAAGAGAAGCCAGGAGGAAGAGGTGAATCCGGAAGCAATTTGACTTTCCTGCCATGGAAACTCCTGGCGGCATCTGCCCTGAACTTGACCTGAACTCTGGCTGCCCACGGCCACACCACTACCTCTTCAGACAAACATATCAAGAGTTTCTGTTTTCCTTCATCCCTTGCAGATGTGAACAGCCAAGAACTACAGACACAACCCACTCATTATCAGCATTTCTGTCTCTGTCAAACAGTTAGTTTACAGATAGTCATAATCTCTCTTCCTTCCGGATGGTTTCTCCTTGTATACTGAACAAAAGAAGAAATGTGGGAACTGAAAGGTGTGATTTTTCAATTCTCCTCCCAGTTCCCGAATCACCCTCTTTTTTTTTCCCCCCCAAAAGCCTCCATTCATTCTTTCCTCCCTCCTTCCCCTGTTCACTTCCTATCCACTCACACGGACCCAGTGTTCCATCCCCATCAAGGAATAATCTAACAGATTAGCAGAGTGGAAGACGTGGAGGCTGAAACTCGATTTCTGTTCTCACCTACAAGACTTCAATAGACCTTGATGGTAGCGCATGCTAGTTTTGTCCAGTTTTTACGGTTTCCTGACTTCGCTGGCATTAGGCCAAGCTGAAAAAATATACTTGATGAGAATTTCCTCTTTTTATAATACTTATTTGAACACCAAAGACTTTCCCTTTATCTCCTGTAAAAGTATTGGTTACATTGTGTCTGGAAACCATACTCCTCCTCTGGACTGGGGGGCTCAGGGGAGACCGCTGAAGCATGGCACCAGCCTGGGCAAAAGTTTATTTTTAAACACGGCTACTTGTCAGTATGTATGGGTAGTCAGTATTTTTAGGAGTACAATTTTTTAAAAGCACATTCTGTGCGCTGCTTTGTATCTGCATTTTATACTACATAATTACATAACACTCAGATAACTTAGGTATTAGCAATGTTCAGCTTTGAATGAATTAAGTGTACCAGAAATAAACCTGGAGTGATTTTTTTCAAATAAGCAAAATAAAAGGGATTTTGTATTTGTTCACTTTAATCTATTCACTTTTTATACCGTAAACCAAACTTCAGTCTAAAGGAAAACATCAATAAATTCATTATAAATCTGCAGTTTGGGAGACTAAAAACTTCTCTATTCCCCAAAATGTGTTTATAAAATATTCGCCCCCTTGTTGAAAATACATACGTTTTTAAATGTCGAAGATGACTTTGGAATTAACTGAGAACTTCTGCAGACACCTTTAAGTTACATACACTGCGTGCTTCTTTCAAAAGACTAAATATGCCATTTGTACCTTGTTCATTTGGTACCTAAAGGAGGTTTGCAAGTCTGCTAGCTGCCTCTCCTTTTGAAGGACACAGACACGTCCGGTCCAGACGTGTGGATTTGAACTCTGCTGTGGGTTGCACTAAACAAAAAAGGAAGGAGATGAGCTGGGAAGGAGGTTCTGGCAGGCGTCTGTTTCAGTGTAAAAGTATCGAGCAGATTTTGTGAGTGCAAGGGAGTGATCTGAAACCACTGCCATTACTTAACACACATGCACACGCACGTGTGTACACACACACACACTTTAACCAAAACTGTTGTTAAACAGTTTCCATGGCCTCCTCTAAGCTGCTTTTTCTGCTTTAGGAATAAATTACATTTACCTGCACAGATGTTGAAAAGCCTGTTAAACCCTTGTCAAGGATTTGTTTGTTTTACATCAAACAAATTTATGAGGAGGGGGCACAAATAAATGAAAAGATAAAAAGAGGTTTCGCGTTTCGTAGTCCTCCTTCCACCTGGTGCCCTGACTTCCTGTGTTGGGAGAAGCTGTTGCTCTGTGCAGAGGCAACGCCACCTCTCCATGAAGGGGGGGGTTAACATTTGGCCCTAAAAAGTGGGAAAGAAACCAGCAAACTATACATATCATGATAAAGTTACAAGTTATTCAAACTAAGCTTTTGTCCACATAAAACTAACGCGATTATTAGTTCTGTTACTCTACTGGAAGAGTGTATGGAGACGGAAGTTGAGTTCCCAAATGGGAAGCTTAAAATCTCCTTGTTCTTTTTCCTTTTATGGTAGAAATACTTCTGTTTTATCGATAGGCGTTGTTTACTTGTTTGGGTTTGGGGTTTGTTTTTTTTTTTTTAGTTTTAACAATAAAAATTGCCCTAGAAAGTGAGCCATGACAACTTTTTTTTTTTAATTGCTGTCATCATTAGAACATTAACATTAAAGCCAAATCTTGTTTTATGGAAGATTTTGCAAACTGCAGTGATAAATTATGTGATGGAGTGTGTATAAAGTAGGAGTGTGTGTAAAACTAAATGATGTTCTGTCAAGCATCTGTGGTCACAAACAAAGGTCCCCATCTGAAGTGTGGCTTGGGGACCACCGAGGGCAAGGCTGACCAGGCACCGATATTTAAGGTGACTTCATAGACTCCTTTCCACCCTCATCCCTACACATCCGCCCCAACACAAAAAAGTGGGAGGATTTTTTTTCACTTGCCTCTAGTGAGGTTTATGTCAACTTTTCTCAACATTCCTAAAGCCATATATAAAAGGGAAAGCTTAGCGGTCCAAAGCAGAAGGCTGGATCTCCAGGGGAAATAATTTTCTTCTAACTATAGGTGTGTGTACCTGCTCATTATCAGTGAGGCTTGAGTCCGTGCTGCAAAGGATGATACATTGTTGGTCTTTGGGGGATGCATTAACTCCTTCAAGCCACAAGGGAATCGAGTAGAGCTCTGGGTGAGGTCATCCGCTAAACAGTCCCTGGTGGGCCACGCTAATCAGGGCACTGCGGTCAAGTGTTCACTCCCTTTGCCTGGAAAGCTCCACCCGTTGTTCCTTGGCTCCTGTAGAACTGATACCTTAGTTGTAGGCTCTTAACATGCCCCCCCCCCAAGTACAGACCTAGCGTTTCAACTAACTGAAATTTTTGCTGCTTTCATGTGCAACCTCACTTCGCCCACCTCTGCCCTGTCCTCTTTCCCTTCACGCTCGTGTGCTGGTGTTCACACACATGGCCATGTATTCTGCATTTCCTCACTACTCACGGACTCCAATGCTCTCTGGCAAAGGATCCCAAAACTAACTCGCATCCCATCTAAATCCTGATCCCTGTGCCTTTAGGGCGGGGATGGGCAGGGAGCAAGTACATCTGAAGAATCTGAAGAATCATGGAAGTTCTCAGATAAGATTTGACAGGGTCTAATGTGGTCTGAGGTTCAGGCTGTGAGGAAGTGTTTCAGCAAACAGGGCCAGAAACACAAGTGAGTTTTAAAGCGGTTTTGAGCCTGAGTGAGGGAGGGGAGGGAAGGGAGGGTGTGTGCTAATTAAAACGACGAATGAGTAAAATGTCTATCTGAATTCACTAGAAAAGCACCCCTCACATGTTCTTAGGAGAATCTCACCCTTTTCCACGTGATCCAATGAGAGCAAGTTGCCTAAGCAGGGGGCAGTGGGGGATGGGGAGAGGCAGAAAATCTCCCAACTGGGACAAGGTTCCTTAGGGTAAAGGAGCAGAGCTAGCTCAACAGGAGAGGAAACCGAAATCCAAACAATGAGGAGTCGGCCTGCAATGTCACCATTTACAGAGAAGCACTTCTCCCAACCTGTCCCCAGAGTCACTCTTCAGGGACGGAAGTGTGGCGGTGACACAATGGGGACCCTCTCACTGTAGAGTCCCCAACTAACCTTCCCATACATAGTCAACATGATCCTTTATTAAGACCATGCCTGGATTCCAAAGATTAAATAAGGAAGATGGATTATGAAATAATAACCAGAACAGCTCAGGCTCCCCTTGTGTATTTCACTTTCCTGCTATTGTTTTGAATATGGCTGTGAGACAAAGAGCTGCTTAGGTCAAGCACAATAAATTAGAGTTTTCATACAATAGTAATCCACTAAAACGATTTCAAAGCCGGATCAAAGTACTTCCAAAAGACTTTTAAAACTTTTCCACAATACAGGGGGAGGGGGAATGCTCATTTGATTCCTTAATTCATTTCCTTGAGTATAGCAGAGTTAGACCTTGGCGTCATACCTCCTTTCTATAAAATCCAACTCATTAGTTAAATAAATCCAACTTGTTCTTATTGTTTTTACGTGTAAGTAAAGGGGATTTAAGTTTTCATCTAGTTAAGTGGAACAACGAAACATTTGGAGTTGCTTGCGTATGAGGAAAAGATACCAATAGTACCTTTTTAAAACAGGCATGGCATAATATTTAATTTTGGTACCGAAGGTATTTAAGACTAACCCCCTGTGCTTAGAATGAAGTATGTATCTGTAGATTTATTTTGCATCTTAATAATCATGGCACCCGATGCGTTTAGTTTTTCATTCCTTTTCCTTCCTCACTTGGATTTATTTAGAGCTGTCTCCTATCAAAGGCAAGGATGATGGGAGGTACTCCAGTGATAGCAAAGCTAAGCAAATTCTAGGCCCAACCATATATAAAACAGCGTGGGACTCCTGCAGCAATGTCAGGCTCAGCTAAAGACCCAGGGTGCTATGTCAATGTAATTTTTATTTTTTAAACGGAAGGTCATTTTGAAATGCTGACGTGAAATAGAACCAAGTCAATTAAGTAATAACAATTGAAGTTCAGAGTTTAATTGAGGGCCGAACATGAAGCCAATGACCATTAACCTAAAGCGGTCATGGATTCCCCCAGCAAACTGCCCTTGTTAAAGGTATTTCTAGAATAACTAGCACTTTTTCCTTTAAAAAAAAAAAAAAAGTGCCTTAGCCATTTTTATGTTCAACACAGATACATTCAGAAAAAATAATTCAGTGTGTCTAGAGTAGGTTATCTGCACTCTTGAGTTTTAACTGAAATTTCTCGTATAGAGCAAATCAAAATTTATGTCATCAAAACCACCTCTGCCGGAAACGATCTTTCATAAGTAAACTGACAGGTAGAAGCACCCTGGTCTCCATTGTTGACTTCTTTCCCTCTGGAGTTATTTCATGGCGAGATTGCCGACCTAGATGATAAGCCGCCTACAGTGTTTGTTTTGTTCTCTGCCTAGCCCCCAACCACCAAGGGGGTTCCTGGCACAGAACAGGTGCTCAGTGCATGTGGAAGGAACAAAGGAACGAATAGAAACTTACACTAAATATGTTCTCATTCACTTGCTTTAAAAGAAATAATCGGAACTCTTTAAATTTTACCTGTTTCTCATTTTCTTCAGCTGAAAACTGAGTGTATTTACCGGAATCAGAAAAGCAATGTTGGTATTAAAGAATTATTTAGAAACCCTCAAAATCTCAAAGCAGGTTCATCAATCAGAATATCTCAGGATGCATACTTAGTTTGAAGGGGAATTCGTGAGATCTCATTGCGCTTACCTTCAAGTTAGCCCTAGTGCATGGTCTAATCCAATATATTTCTAAAGAAACCAGAATATCTAAAATTCTTTGCTTCTCTTTTTAAAAAAAAAAATGAGGCTTAAGGCATTATCTTGACATTTCTATGTAAGAGACGGTCTCCTCTAAATTCCAGATTAAGGCCTCAAATCAAATGTGTTTCCAACACCAATTTTGAGATATTTGGTGAAATTCTTAGATTAACTGCAAACAGTACCTTTTAATTGCTCTTTTTTTTTAATGCTGAGTTGTTGGCAAAGTGCTTCCTGGCTATAGAAGTGGCTGACTGAGTCAGAAGAGAAGGGTTCTTTGGTCGTTTGCCAACAGGATCTGACTTAGGAGAGACACTGTCCATGAACTGCTCAGTGGGCGTTTCCCTGTTAGTCATTAAATCAAACATTATCATTTCAAAGTCCTAGGCATTTGGCCTATTTCCTCATGTTTTGGAAACTTGTAAAAGGAACCGGAACTTCCATGTTTCTTCTTTGCCAGTTTCCCAGGCCTTAATTTTGGGGGCCATTTGGTCCATGATCCCTTCCATCAGTGTCTGGAGAGTACAGACACCCAGTTCTCTCTGACATAGTCCTGAGACCAAGTCCTCTTTGGTTCTATGTGATATTTTGGTCTTCTATTTCTACCATTTAGGCTATTCAAAACACAAATATTTCCTGAGTCCCTAATGGATATTTTAAAAGTGTTTCAGTGCTGTGGGGAATTTTAAAATACACAATAAAAGGTGGCTCTTGAAAAAAATACATATATTACGTACCAAAATGAAAACAAGGGTTTAAAAAATTTCAGCAAAGTCAGTCACCGTATAATAAGGAAAGAGGCACACCTTTGAGGCTTTTAATAAGATATTTTAATTCTAGAATATGGGCAGCAAAAAGAGTTCACTATTTGGTTATAGTGGCTATGTTTGCTGCTAAGGATTCTGAGACTGCGTTCAGCTCAGCAGGAAATAGAGGTATGATCAGTTATGGGCACTCGTTTTTGAAGTGGGTTGTGATCACCTATAGATGCCACATATTTCCAATTTCAGCCCTAGGCCATTCATATTTAGTGCAAGTATAAATTCAAAGCATTTGGAAAGGAACTCATAACCTTGTTCGTCAGCCTGAGCAGTAAAACAAGCAGTAACATTTTCCACGGGGTCCGTGACATCAAGTGAACCCTCTGTCC